TAGTAGTAGTAGTAGTAGGAGTATAGCGGACTAGCAGACTATATTATATATTGCAACCATGGCGTTGGTTGTGGCAGTTCCCGATTGTTCCCAAGATGTTCCAACGACGCAGCTTTCAAGCACGGCAGGAGGACACCTGTTCTGTTGATGCTTGGGGTTTGGGGCTTATGGCTTGGGGTTTGGGGCTTGTCGCTTAGGATTTAGGGCCTGGGGGTTGCGGTTTACCAACCTCTAAACTTGGAGGCTTAGGGTTTAGAGCTTGGGGTCCAGGAGGAGTACTACACTGACGATCGGCAGCGCCATCTCGTCGTCCATGCCGTGGCGAAGCGAGCTCGTCATGCGGAGGCCGCCCAAGCCCGAGCTAGCCTATTAGTGCGGTGGTTCAGGGTTTGAGGTGTCGCAGTGCCACGGCGAGACCCACCCAGTCTTGGTACTATTGAACCCACCCACGTCCAGCCAAAGCCCGACCTAAACGGGTTAAACGTATGTTCGCTTCCACTTGACTGCACTGTGCTGTCGCCAGAAAGTTAAAAAGTTGGGGGGAAGTAAAGAATATCAGAAGGATGCATCATTTCGTGGCACGTCCGTCAGAGTCGTCCGCCGCCTTTTTCTGGCGCGTGTCTCCTCCAGAATCGTCCGGCATTCGTTTGTCCGCCAGCCTCTTGTTGTGCGGCGTGTCTCACCGCGTGCCCGCACTCTTTGCTGCTCGCCCGCCGTCACCGTCCCCCGCCACAGTCGTACAACAGCCTTTTTTGTCCCACCCTAAACCCTAAACCCACCAGAGCCGTCCGCCTGCCTTTTTGTCGCCCGTCGCATCTTCGGGAGATTAGGGAACCCGTTTGGAGGTAGTCGTGGATATAGTCACCCTACACCCTAAACAGTTTAGGGTTTAGGGTTTAGGGTTTAGGGTTTAGGGTTCCCTAAACCCTACACCCTAAACACTAAAACCTCAAGAAAGACAGAAATAGAAATTGCTTGTTGCTGTTGGCCAATCCAATCATTCACTTCAGCCCGCCTGAGCGCAGCCAGCGCAACCCAGTGCCAGGCCAGAGAAGACGAGTTCAGACATAGGGGCAAGGTGGGGCGGGACGGGCCACGAAGTAGGCCGGTTTTCAAATGGGGGTTTCCGAAAATAGGGCACCCTAATATAGTACCCCAAATAATAGGTTCCATATTATAAGGACCCCAAAATAAGGTACCCCTTATTTTCGGAAACTCCCAAATTGGGAAAATCGAGTGGCCTATGCATGTCGGATCGGGGCACTACCTTTCCAATTTGTAAAAACCAATTTCCGTTTCAGGGTAAAGCAAGTCAACCCAGACCCACCCGCGATAGCCCAGCTCCCATACCAAGCCGCCCCACCAGCCGGTTTCAGCCCAGCCCGGTCCCAGCCCGACCAGTTGCCTAGCCCTCCCCATCCCAGCCCAGCCTAGCCCCAGACCCAGTCCCCAGCCCCGCCAGCCAGCCCCAGATTCAAAAAATCAAAACTCGGTCAAAACGTTGCGGTCAAGACTTATTGGCACTCAAACCCTGAACACCTTCTATAAACCCTAGACCTTGAACCCTAAACCCTCAACCCGACTATAGTAGCTTCCGGCATGGATGTGCCCGAACTGCAGGCTGCAGCTCTCGAAGCGGTAGCGTGAGTTGGTACCGCCCTCCCCCCCTTAAAGCCTTACCGGTGAAAGGAGGGTTTAGGGTTTAGGGCTTCGGGGTTTAGAGTTTTGGGTTTAGGATGAGCATTCCGGATGCAGCTCAGGACACTGAATCCTAAGCAGCCCCGAAGCGCTCATCCCTAAACACGAGTCCCTAAACTCCAAACCCTGATCCCTAAACCTTCGAACTGTTATAGAGCCCTTAAAGCAGCCTTGCAAGGAGTTTCAGAAGCATCCATACATCTTGGATACTGCCCCCAACTCAGTCACAGTTGGATAATATTCATAATCGAGATATACAAGGCCCTTACTAGTAGCCCTATTATAGACTGTTACTGTATTGGGGCAGTAGACCCTAAACCCTAAACCCTAAAATCCTAAACCCTAAACCCTAAACCCTAAACCCTATCATGGACAGTTACTGTATTGGGGCAGTACCTGACATAGATCCTGAGAGGCCGATGATGCCTTAAGCGACATGGCCATCTGCGAGAACTCTTGCGATCGCCCTGCAGCGAAGGGGATGCTGAAAAAGGCGGGACCGACGTGCGGAGGTATGGGCCTTTGGCTTGGTATCATAAGGTTAGTTAAACCCTAAACCCTAAACCCTGAACCCTAAACCCAGGTTTATTTAAGGTTTCTAGGATTATGAGGCTCTTGGTTTTGTGGGTTAAGGTTTATTCAAGGTTTTTAGGATCATGAGGCTTTGAGTTTATGGGGCTGGGGCTTGGTATTATGGGTTAATTAAGGTTTAGGGTTTGGAGTTTGGGGTATATAGGTTTAGGCTCTAGGCAAAGTAGGGGCCCATGGAACCATAAATAGACGGCCGAATTCTGAGAAACCTCAGCGGGCTTTGATGGAAGGAAGCTCGGGGACGACCTTATGTAGACAGTAATATAGGGTCCTTGATAATTAGAATAGGGTTTGCGATATATTATACTATAAGTAGGATAAAGAACCCCCAAAACCCTATTCTAATTATTCAGTATCAGTAGGATAAGGAACCCCCAAAACCCTATTCTAATCATTCAGTATCAGTAGGATAAAGACCCCCCGAAACCCTATTCTAATCATGCAGGCCCCTACATTCTGAGCACTTCCGGCAGTGGTGGTTCAGGCTTTGGCCTATGAGACTCCTACCCCAAGTCCTCAGCCCATGATGCGCGCCTGGGAACCTCCCCACAAGCAGCTGTGAGGTTTAGGGTTTAGGGTTTACGGTTTAGGGTTGAGGGTTTAGGGGTTTAGGGTTTAGGGTTATGACAACAGCTAACAAGCAGCAGGTAAAATGGTAAGAAGATGTCCTCAATAAAGCAACAATAGCAGCAAAGCGTAGCGGAACGACGTAAAAGGCTGAACAGTACGTATTGTAGTAGCACGTCTCAGGGTTCCTATCTCGAATTACATACTACTACTTTGCCCCAGCGATTTAGGGTTTAGGGTTATAACTAAGGCCCCTAATTACTATCGTCGATGATCTAGTGAATCTGGAAAAGAGGCATTCGCCAGAGGTATTTGCGAGCTGATGAAGCTCCTCGGCGGCATTTCCGGTTTCCTTTCAGGGTTTAGGGATTTATCGGTTAGGGCTAGGGTTTACCTTAAACCCTAGACCCTATAAACCCTAAACCTTTTTAGGTTTCCAGGTTCCTACAAGGTTCTACAAGAGGGTTCTGGGTCCCTGTACCGTTCATGAGCAGAAGTTCCCGTTTCAGCTTTGAGCGGTGGATGTGCCACGGCGGATTTACGTGGGTTGGACTCGGGGAGTTGTAGGCTTCACTCCAAAACCCAAAAAACTACTGTAGGGGTCTGCATACGTCTAGATAGGCTTTATGTAACCATACTACATAAGGTACACCCAAGCCCTTTTCCAGCTATATATATTAAGGTTCCCATGTAAGCCCAAGGCCCACAGCGCTCAACCCATTTGGGGGACATATACTCACATGGGTAGTTCTCTAAATTAGGGTCCCTTTTCTGGGTCCCCAATATAGTACGGCACCCTTATAAAAGGACCCTAAAAGGGACCCTAATCTAGAGAACTACCCACATTCAAGAGTAGAGGAGTCCGCGGCTTAGTCTTGAGAGGCTCCTGGACAAGGCGCACCGCAGTGTGCAGTTCTACGAACAGCAGCTGAAGCAGCTGAGCTGCGCACAGGGCACGGCGGAGGTGCATCTTAGTATTAGGGTTTAGGACAACTTTGGGCCTGCAGTTGTGGCTTTCTTGTTTAGATTGAAAGGTTTAGGGCTGGGGGTTCAGGCTTCCCTAAAGCCTAACCACCAACACACCCCTCAAGGCAAAAACGTAGCGCCATTGCATGTTGGAGTTGTTTTCTTTGCAGAACCAATAGAACCCTAGTGATCACATTGTGATCGAGCATCTTGCCCAGTACAACACAAAACAAACACGAACCCGGCAAAAAAAAAACACATTTACAAATTTGATTGTCTGATTGAGTTGTTTCCCGAAACGCCCCAAAACCGTATTGGCACTCAAGGAATCTACAGCTCTTGATGCCCAAGTTTTCCAAAACGCAAAGACGACCACGAGCCCGGAAAGGAGCACGAGTGCTCCATTTGCCTGGAGTCTGCATCGGACCTGGGTGCATGGTCCATCCTGCCTCTTGGCTTTTTTTTGTCAACGGTTCCTTCAAAGGGTTCTTTTGTTTAATCAAGGGTTCCTTCCAAGGGTTCTATAGGTGCATGGTCCATCCTGCCTCTTGGCCTTCCTGGGCTTTCAGGGAACCAGGGGTTTAGGGTTTCAGGTTTCAGGTTTAGGGGTTTAGGGTTTAGGGTGTAGAGGGTTTAGGGCTTTTTTAAATCAAGGGTTCCTTCAAAGGGTTCTAAAGGTTTTTTTTTGCCCCTAAACATTGCTACAAAGGTTTGTATAAGGGTTGTACTAGGGTTCCTGTGACAGGTTGCATAGGGGCTATGAGAAGAACCCTAAACCCTGGACCCTAAACCGTGTGATAGGGGCTATGAGAAGGGTTCTACAAGAGTTTCGATGAGCTTCCTGCCACGTCTTGGAGGATTTAGGGCTTTAGGCTTTGTGGTTTGCGTACCAGGACTTTGGAGCTCTGGCTTTAGCGTTACTGGGGTCCTATTACCCTCAACCTTAAACCCTAAACCCTCAACCCGAAACCCTCAACCCCCGGCTCTTTTTCGGGGTTTGTACTGGGGTTGGGGGGCTGGAGGGTCCTATGGCAGCAGGGGGCTGAGGGTCTTCAGGGCACCTAATTCTGGAGTGCAAGGGGTCTATGGTTTAGGGTTGAAAGTTTGGGGTTTAGGGTTTGGGGTTTAGGGCTTAGGGTTTGGGGTTTAGGGTTTAGGGTTTAGGGAGGGTTCGTCGAAGGGCATAGATGGCTTCAGGGTGTAGGGGACAGCTTCGGGCTCTAGAGATTGAGGTTCCTCTTGAAGCCCTGGGCTGGCCTCTGTTTCAGGGTGCGAAATCCCACAGAGCCGGTAAAACCCTACGAATGTAGGGGTCTTAGTAATTAGAATGGGGTTTGGGGGGGTAGATTATACAAAAATTATAAATAAGGACCCCCTCACCCCCCCAAAAAAAACCTATTCTAATTATTAAGGCCCCTACACTAACCCAGACACACTCCTAGAAATTTCCCTCTGTGGGTCCTTGAAACTGTTAAAATGCTCTCAAATCCTTTGGACAACCCTAGTTAATTACTACAGAAACCTCAAGACTAAACCCTTAAACCCAAACCCTCAAACTCCCAAGCCCTAAACTACTAGGCCCCCTTTCCCAGGCCATGCTCCCACATTTTCCACACCGCCTGCATCCGCGAGGTGGGCGGGTGAAGAATCCGAAAGAAAAAGGGTTTTAGGGTTTAGGGCTTAGGGAAACCTGAAACTTCTGGGTCCTGCAGAGTTTTGGGCTCTGGGCCGACAGTACCAAGAGGGTCCACATACACTACTATTATGGAATTAGGTCCCCAAAACCATAATAGGGATGGCTTTTTAAGGCCTAATTCCATAATGGTAGTATATATGGACCCTCTGGGGTAGGACGTCTTGGTTTTGGAAAGAGGCTGAGCGTATCGATGTGCAGTTCCAGGCTGATTATCGGCTTGAGGCCCATTCGGTGTACTTAAAGGATCATGGGACTTAGTAAGTAGGGTTATAATTAAGGTAACTATACTTCTAACCCCAATTAGGGGACTTATAACCTTACTTACTAAGTCCCATGATCCTCCAAGTAGGGCTCCCTACTGAAGTATCTGACTCCAAAGGTCCGCAATTCTTAGGGTGGGGCCCTTCAGCGATTTGAGGCCAGGAGATCCTTTTTCTATACCTAAGCCTAAATAATTATCAACATAAACCCTAAACCCTAAACCCTAATTATAAGGATACCCTAAAGGGGCCCAAAGCCATCTTCGACTTATTAAGGCCCCATATGGTAGACCCTAAACCCTAAACCCCTTAAACCCTAAACTCTAAACCCTAAACCCGAAACCCTAAACCCCTAAGCAGCAGGACCCTTCAACCTGCAGTCTTCACAAACCCACATGGGGGGAGTAGCTCTCTCAATTAGGGTCCCTTTTGGGGAGGGGGTCCTTTTTTCTAAAGGTTTAGGGGTTTAGGGGTTTAGGTGTTTAGGGTTTAGGTGTTTAGGGCTTAGGGGTTTAGGGTTTAGGGTTTAGGGTTTAGGGTCTAGGGACTATATTAAGGGACCCCAACTTAGAGAACTACCCATATGCGCACAGCTTGCCTTTGCCGGACGGCAAGTGGAGCACTCTTGGAGTGCAGGCTTGCCGGGGTTAATCAGGGGACTGGGTAAGGACGGTGATGTGTCAGATGGGAGTTTCCGAAAATTAGGGCTACCTTATTTTGGGGTCCTCATAATAAGGATCCTACTATTACGGTTACTAGATTAGGGTCCCCTATTTTCGGAAACCCCCAGATAGCTATAGTGATGCCTACCAATATATCACCGTGACAACACCTTGTGTATTTACTCATGAACCCTCAAGCAAGGTTTAGGTGTTAACGTGTTTCACGGTGGTTGCGTCGGCCAGAAGCATCGGGCGATCAACTGTGCTCCTACTGTTGCCTTTTTCTTCACGGGTCGCGCGGTGGAGAGTAAAGAGTTATATCTACGCTTATCCTCACACACCCCAGACCCTCAAACCCGACAGCCCCAGAGCCGCAGACCGCAAAGCCCCAAGAAACGCGAGCCTTGAACAAAAACCAGCACAGCCAAAGCCAAGCTCTAAAAACAAGTTGCGCCAAAAGCTTTAAGGTTCAGGGTTTAGGGTTTAGGGTTTAGACCCGAAGGACCCAAATACTGAAGCACTGAGACCCTAAAGCCATAAACCCTAAAGCACTCAAAGCTGCGCAGGTCCTCCAGAAAAGTCCTTTGTGCCCAGAGTGCCGGGCACCGATCAAGCCATCGGAGATCGCTTCAGTAGTCATGGAGTTGACGCCCAGCTGCAGCCAGTTGCAGGACTCGGCTCTTCAACACTTACCTAGACCCCCGGAACCCTTGTTTTGTTTGGAAAGGGGGAGGGGGGTGATGATATGATCAATTCGGTATATAATCGCAAAAACGAGGGCTTTGGGTTTTCCCAGTGTGTAAGACATATGGCGGGTATACTGTGGCGCACTCGTGTTACCAGGCAAGACTCCAAAGGTTGCAGCAATCGGCCATCAAGGTTCAAGTCCTCTTCGGCCGGTGTTGTGCAGTTTTCCCAGGCCTAGGAGCACGAAAGCGTGCGATTCCTCTTGCTATAAAAATACAAGTCCCTTTGTGGATCTATACCGGCTCAGGGTTCGAAGCCGCTATAGGCGACTACGGCACTCAGGATTCGCCTTTAGTGCTTCCGAATCTCTCCCTTATGTATCTTGATGTCATAGGGTCTTCTGAGCAAGGTGGGGTTTAAGGTTTAGGGTTTAGGGTCCCAAAACCCGAACCCCAAAACCCTATAAGCCCCGAGAGATCAGGGCCGAAGCCCTGGGCGTAGCGTCCACACTTCTTCGGACTTCCCAACCTTGTTCGGATATCCGGCTTGCCCTCAAAATCACGGGGGCCCCATTACTAGTCGCTATAGTCATAAAGCATTAATAATAATACTATACTCTTTTTATCTCACAGAGTAATATGGTTCGATGTTGCATAACGTATCTCTTGCACCCTGCAGCCCTGAACCCTGAAGCGCTCAACGCTGCACTCGTGACGCCCTAGAAGCCCGCGGCCCTAGGAGAATAGGCCCCTCAAGCACCGCTCTACGGCGAGAAAGTTAGGGTTTAGGGTTTTAGGGTTTTAGTTTAGGGTTTAGGGTTTAAGGTTTAGGGTTTAGGGTTGTAGAGTTTGGGTAGCTTACAACTTCTAAGCACAAAACCTTCTGAATCCGAAGCATATAAGCCTTACAAGCCCACCGCCCTATCAACCCCTAACAATACATCTGGGTCCTTGTTGGATACAAGTCTACTTTTTTGTTATATCACACCCAATTATTATTCAAAAGGATCTATTTTTTTATTTAGCGTCAACAGGGAACCAGATATTGGAAACCCTAAGACTACTGAGCCCGGTGACTTCAGCTTCTGGTACATTGCGATCTCATACACCATCGTTCTCTTCTTGTGATTCCCTAAACCCTAAACCCTAAGTTCTCTTGTTGTGATTCTCAGTGCCACAACTTGGCGACCATCAGTCTGACTTTCCTGTTCTGCTTCCTTCTGGGTTGACTGGTTCTTACGAATCATACTACATACTAATACTAAACCCCAAATCCCGAACCATAAGCCCTAAACCCTAAACCCTAGATCCGATTCTTCTACCATCAGCTCCAGGCGGGAGCCTGTACCCGTCGAGCCACAGCTGCCTCCGGATCCTGAGATGTCCCAGGCAATGTAGGGTTTGGGGTTTATAGGGGTTTAGAGTTTATTAGGGTTTAGGGTTTAGGGGTTTTTCAGTTTAGGGTTTAGGGTTTATAGGGGTTTATAGGGCTTTAGAGTTTATTAGGGTTTAGGGTTTTTTTCAGTTTAGGGTTTAGGGTTTAGAGTTTAGGGGTGTATAGGGGTTTAGGGCTTTAGGGGTTGAGGGTTTAGGGTTTAGGGCTTATAGGGCTTAGGGCTTGTAAACGTTGAAGGTTCGGACCCCGGAGGGAACCTTATAGGATTGGGTTAATGGGGTTTTCGGGTTGGTGCTAACGGAGTGTATGTTTTGTTGGGTGTTCATGGCGTTTCGTGGGGATTCTACACCTTAAGGACGAAAAGAACCTTAAAAGTAGGGGCCCTATACTCTTATGCTATGAATCCCTATATGGTTAATCCCTTTTAGGGCTCTTTTCGTCCTTAAGGCAGGGATGCTTTTTTGGGGTTTCTAAGGGTTCTATCTGGTGCTACAGCGGGTTGGATCGACTTCAAGGTGCGATTCGGTTTATGGTTTAGGGTTTAGGGTTTAGGGTTTAGGGTTGCGTTGTGGGTCTTGGGTTCGGAAAATCAGGGCTTTGGGTTCGGGGTGCAGGTGCAGTGTTCATTTCTTATAAGGATTGGGCCGACTAGGCTGACTGTCGCGGGCGTCTCTGGGTCTTGCGAAACAGTACAGGATAAGATAAACTAGGGGTCGGAGGAATTCGAAATGGCAACGTGTTACAACTGTACCCCTAAACCCTAAACCCTAAACCCTAAACCCTAACCTTCTTCAGCGGTTCCTTCTGTGCACTCGCGGCTTGAACTCAAGGCCTGCCACCTGTTGAGAGCTTCTGATACAGAAGCCTGAGACCCTCCTCCACTGTACCCTAAAGACCTGGGATCAGGGGCTGGATGCCGGTATTCTTTTCTGAGCTCCCATGGAGGTGCAAGATGGTTTACATGTCACGCTATCTTGCACCTACAAGCCTCGAATTCCCGCAGTCCGGAGGCCTTCATGAAACCCACAAAAGATCCTCATTACACCGTTAGATTCTTAGATCTTCACAAGATGTCTACATGACCCTCATGAGACCCCTATATCTTGACAGGATCCATAGAAGATCCGCACGCATACCCTAGACCCGAACTCCCAAACCCTGCACCCTAAACCCTAGACCCTGAACCCTAAACTCTACCTAAGCTCCAGGGGTAGTTGTAAGTGGAGCAACAAGTAGAATAACGATCATCATAGCCCTTATTACGGGACTTGTATAACCCACTTATAACTACCCTCAACCCTAAACTCTAAACACTAAACCCTGAACCCCTAAACGCCCAAAAGACCCATGAACCTCCAAGTACTGAGACCCTAAACCCTAAACCCTAAACCCTACGCCGAAGCGATCCGGCAGCGAGAGGCCTGGAAGCGCCACGGCTCCAAACTGAACGCCGTGGCCCGGCGCCTGAAGGAAATCCGAAGGAAGAGCCCGGAGGTCGGGCCCGGGGAGGCCAAACAAGGTGGTTCAGAGTGAGGGTTTAGAGGGTTTAGGGGTTTAGGGCTTTGGGGTTTAGGTTCTAGGGTTTAGGGGGTTTCGGGGTTTAGGGCTTAGGGGTTTAGGTTCGAGGGTTTAGGGGGTTTAGGGGTTTAGGGCTTAGGGGTTTAGGTTCTAGGGTTTAGGGGGTTTAGGGGTTTAGGGCTTATTAGGGGTTTAGGTTCTAGGGTTTAGGGGGTTGAGGGGTTTAGGGCTTGAGGGTTTAGGCTAGGGTTTAGGGGGTTTAGGGCTTAGGGGTTTAGGTTCTAGGGTTTAGGGGGTTTAGGGTTGAGGGGTTTAGGGTTTAGGGGTTGCCAATTCTCCAGCCATAGAGCCTACAGGCAAAAGCCCTGGTTTTCGTGCAGTGGGCTGACTTGGAGGACAAGGTCTGCATGGCTTTGCAGGACCTGGTGGGTCAAGCGGGGCTGGGTGCAGATCGTCAAGGTGTGGAGTGTAGGCAGCAGGGTTTGCCGGCTCGTAGTACGTTTGGTCCGCTGCTTGCAGCAAAGACTTCTAGGGTGTAAGATCTAGAGCGTCTAGACATGGCTAGCATGCGACGTTCATCGGGCATTTTCTTTTCACATTTGCTGCCCTAGTGCCTTCGAACCACATGCGAGCAAGAATTAACCACAAGTTCGCAAACAAACATGTGAGAAAAGTTTAAGCGGTAGGTTTCAGAAGCTCGGGTTTAGGCCTCAGGGACGCCTTGGAAACCCAACCAACAACCCGCATATCTAAGAACATCCGTTTCATATCTGAGCTTGGGATTTGGGGTATAGGTTTATAGGTTTAGCCAGTCGGTTCAGGACCGACCCAGATTTGCCCCATTGGCGGTTTCGGGTTTTATGGTTCGGGCGCCCGGGGGGGGGGGGGGGGGGGGNNGTAGGGGATGGGGTCCTGAAAGGGTTACGAGGGTTTTTTTACCAGGGACCAAAAGCAGCAACCGGTAGCAAGAATAGCCGCTACCTGACCCATATCCGTGTCTGCTATGTCCCCTGGTCGCTTGCCCAAGCTCCAAAACCCTCCACCCTGAACCCCAAAAGCCGTAAAGCTCGCCAAGCACCCATAGCACCGCTATGAACCCTAAACCCTAAACCTATATGCTATACAAGGCCCCCACAAGATCCGAAACCCTCAACCCTAAACCCTAAACCCCTAAACCCTAAACCCCTAAACCCTAAACCCTAAACCCTAAACCCTAAACCTCAAATATAAAACGCTTCCAAACCACAATTCTGAGGGCATTCTCAGAACCCTCTGCACTACGAACTTCAGGACCATGAAACCCTGAACCCCGAAACCCCTAGTATTAATAGGGTTTAGGGTTTAGGCTTTAGGGTTTAGGCTTTAGGGTTTAGGGTCTAAACCCCTAAACCCTAAACCCCCCCACCCTAAGCCCCAAATATCCCCACACTCCACTTGGAGGTTCGTGGGTAGTTCCAAGTGGGGTAGAAGTCCGCTCATGTGGGTCATACTTGTTCTACTTATAGCCGCACGTATAACTCCCCATGAGCCTGCAAGCAGGACCATGAAACCCTGAACCCCGAGACACCTAAACCCCGAAACCCCCCCAAAACCCAGATCTTCGACACCCCAGGACCAAAATAAGTCCCCTAATACGGGTCATAGTCATAGATATTCTACTTACATCACTACCCCTAAACCCTAGACCCTAAACTCCATGGACCTCTAAGCAGGACCATGGCGTGTCGTTCCTCCGCCTCTCCACCTGCACAAAGCTGCAGATCCAAGATGGCGCGATCTTACGAAGATTCCAGGAGGCAGCGCTTAGGGTTTGTGGGGAGGGGGGAGGACCCCAAACCCTACAACCTAAACCGTGCTTTTCTGCTCTTTGAGAATAATCTCTTCCCAGCTTGGGAGTTGATTGTTGCTACTGCACATCTGCAGCCCGCTGAATTGTGAAAGTCCTACACCCTGCTACCTGAGCCCCCATCTCCCGAACACCTACTTCAAGCCCCTCCCAGAACCCCGTACAAGCCACAACTCATCAATATATATATATATATACACAGGTGAATATATCGATTTCTATATCTAAACTCTAAACCCTAAGCCCTAAACCCTACGCATCTGTATCTGTAATAGCAGCATTTGGGGTCTACTTCAAGGATCGGCTCCGGGGTTCGTGGGCTTTCGGGTTCAGGGCTTTTGGGCGTTTGGGATTGGGAAGAGGGGTGTGGACCTCAAAGTTTAGTTTAGGGTTTAGGGTTTAGGGTTTAGGGGTAGTTTAGGGTTTAGGGTTTAGGGTTTGGGGGTTTAAACCCTCAACCCTAAACCCTAAGAAGCCCATAAAAGTCAATTGGGTAACCTTTTGTCGCGCAAGGGATCTGGATACGGCTTAAGGCAAGTCCCGGAGCGCTTCTTTCCTTCGCTTTGCTGTCATACATTCATACTGTTTCGGGTTTATAGGGTTTCTAGAGTTTAGGGTTTATTGGGTTCAGGGTTTAGGGTTGAGGGTTTAGGGTGTATAGGGTTTCGGGGAATACACTCGTACCTACATAGGTACATGCACGTACGCACATGCGCTTAGGGTTAGGATGTCGAGTTTAGGTTCAGGACCTCCGACTCGCATGCATGTTGCGAGCTTCCTGGGTGGAGATAATGTTCAGACCTCCAAGATTCAACCGGCCGCACACAGACAATTCAATGAAGCCTTCCTTCAACCCTAAACCCTAAACCGTGACTTCCTTCTACATGATCTCTTTGGCTGCTTCGATCCTACAATCCGAACACTTGGTTACCCAATCAATTACGACGTGTTGGTAAGCCCTGTACCCGCTGCAAACCCTAAATTTTAAATGCGGCACCTACACGAGCTTGGACGGTGCTGCGTTAAAGCTCGCCAGACTCAACTCTGAAACGTACCCTGAGGGAATGCGCTGTCATATGCTCGTTTCCATATTGCGACCAATGCCATAGCGCCGGCTGATGGACCGGGTGCATGTATGTACTCCGAACCAAGGCATAGACCATCACGTCAGTCATATAGTTCCCATAGGCCACTGCAGGTTACCGGAATTTGTCCATAAGCAATACGGCAATACATGTATCACGACGATGATGGATAAAATCAAGTAGTGCAGTTGTTGGCATTTTTCTAGGCATGACACTCTTGTTTGTTGTCACCGCGTTTGTCGTTGCCTGTCCAGCTGTTCCTAATGATATGCATGCTCAACACACACGTTCGTCGTTGCTCGAATATGGCGGCATTTTCATGTCTGTTTCATTAATCAACCGTCAACCCGTCACCCCGAATCTTAAGGCCTGAATCCTTAAACCCTAAGCCCCGAAGGAGCAAGAGGCATCGACCCCGCGTGTGCTGGTGCTGTCGCTGCAGAGAGCTGCATCAGGTACGAATCTGACTCCAGGCTTGGGATTCATATAACTAACCCCGAAATCTGTACTTCACTATACCCCAAATATGAACCTCGGGGCCCCAAATGTGTACTTCTACTACGCCGGGTCCCCGGGTAGGGGGCTTAAACCAATTGAAAGGGGGTTTCTTGCATGGCCAGGTCTTCATTCAAGGTTTAGGGGACAGGGTTCAGGGTTTGGGCTGTAGGGTTCACGGTTAGGGTTTAGGGTTTAGGGTTTAGGGTTTAGGGTGTAGGCTCTGGAGGAGGAACTGCTGAGTTCGGGAGGGCGGCTGGGCCGTTACCTCTTCAAGGGGGCGCCCTCGTCGCATTCTTACGGCTCCGATACTGTACTGTAAATGCTCCAGGGGCTGCGTCTTAGCCTTTTGGCGCCATCCTCAGCGATTGCAATTCCGGCAATTCTCAGAGTTCTGGGCTGGCGGTTTCTCTATGACACATGTATTGGGTCGATTCATGACTGTATGCAGTGTTTACGCCACTTCGCTGGCGACTGAACTAAGCACATAGCCCATTAAACTGAAACCCCCAAAGCCGCCTTAGATCTAAAGCCTGAACGCCTAAACTCGCCGTCCTCTTCAGGACCATAGGGGCTGCATGAAGACCGTACCAGTAGAACCTAAAAGCTGCAGGCGTCGTTTGCTTTTGGGTTGCTGCAATCCCAAGCAACCCCTACCCTCGACCTATAGCAGGGCCCGTCTTAACCACAAGGTCCGTGCAAGCTCTACCTTGGGCTCAACCTTAAACCCTAAACCGTAAAAAGGAGTCAAAAAACTAAACCCTAAACCCTAAAAGAGGAGTCAACAAAACTAAATCCTAAACCCTAAACCGTGGTTATAATAGGCTCCAACCAGCTTTATCAAGTTAGGGCATGGGTTCAGGATGCTACGGGCTGGGATCCTCCGAACTTTACCTTACGGGGAGAACGCAGTGGCCTTAATACTTAAACTGTGCTGCTTTGGGGTTCAGGGAAAAGGCTGGCTGAGCGGAAAAGCTGAGGACAGCCGCCAGCCATGTCTTATTCGTCCACCCCATGAATGCCGAGAGCGTCGAAGAAGCGACTGACCTGCATGAAGCAAACCCTAAACCCTCAGCCCTAAACCCTAATACTATAAGGGTCTGAAAGATTAGCAATACTATTGCTTGGGGGTGTGCTACTACTATCGCCACAGCCCTATTCCAATTCTTGAAGACGCCAAGTGACCGTAAACCCTACAGCATTCTTGGTGACGCAATTTTCAGATACTCAGAGTTCGGAGTACACTTTGAATGGCGTTGTGGTTATCAGCTTCGCCTAAGCTATATACTATGTGTGTTGTGATCACAGGATTTGGTATGTTTTGTGCTGTGGTTTAGGTGTTCAGCTTGTTGGTTTTGGGTCTGAGGGTTCGAGAAGGACAAGCCCTAAACCCTACACCCTAAACCCTATAAACCCTAAACCCTAAACCCCCCTAAGCCATATAAAGCCCAAACCCTAAAACCGACAAACCCCGATAGTTCTCCGCAACCCGGTCTCAGCCGACTACGGGGTGTCACCGACCTTCTCCCGAAAAGAGTCCAAGCTCGAGGGTTTAGAGTTTGGAGTTTAGGGTTTAGAGTTTTGTGGGGTTTAGGGTTTGGGGTTCAGGGTTTAGTGGTTTGGAGTTTAGGGTTTAGGGTTTGGGGTTCAGGGTTTAGGGTTTCCACAACACCACCACCAACAACACCACCACCGCCCGCCTCCTCCGGCAACAAAAAGAAGCCTAAGCTAGGCTCCAAATGCTTCTCCTACTGAGCGTATAGACCCTACCAATCCTTTTAGAAGCCGTATAGAACAAAGCACTCCCCTAGATATGCATGCATATATATATATATA